CGAGGCACAAGGCTGGGGAAGGTTACAGAAACATTTCTCCTGCTTTGAAAGTTCCAATGAGCACAGTTGCCTCCATCATCCGTAAATGGAAGATGTTTTGAACCACCAGAACTCTTCCTAGAGCTGGCCGGCCATCTAAGCTGAGTGTTTGGAGGAAAAGAGCCTTAGTCAGAAGGGTGATCAATAACCTGATGGTCACTCTGTCTGAGCCCCAGCGTTCTTCTGAGGAGAGAGGAGAACTTTACAGAAGGACAACCATCTGTGCAGCAATCCAATAACCAGGCCTGTATGGTAGAGTGGCCAGAGGGAAGCCACTTTCTACCAGGAATTTGCCAAAAGGCATCTGAAGGAATATAAGAAACCATAAGAAATCAAATTCTCTGGTCTGATGCGACTACAAATGAACTGTTTGGAGTAAATACCTGGCATTACGTTTGGAGAAAACCAGGCACCACTCATCACCAGGCTAATATCATTTGTACAGTGAAGCATGGTGGTGGCAGCATCATGCTGTGGGCATGTCTGCTTCTAGCAGGAACTGGAAGACTAGTCAAGATAGAGGAAAAGATCAATGTACAGAGACATCCTGAATGAAAACCTACTTCAGAGTGCTCTTGACCTCAGACTGGGGCGAAGGTTCATCTTCCAGCAGGACAATGAGCCAAAGCACACCTCCAAAATATCAATGGAGTGACTTCTTAACAACTTGGTGAGCCCAGACCTAAATCCCATTGAACATCTCTGGAACCGTCGCTTCCCATCCAACCTGATGGAGCTTGAGAGGTACTTCAAAGGGGAATGGGCAAAAAATGGCACACACATACACACGGACAATTTAACCTACCCAATTCACCTATAGCACATATGTCTTTGGACTTGTGGGGGAAACTGGAGCACCCAGAGGAACCCCTTGTGAACACCGGGAGAACATGCAAACTCCACACAGAAATGCCAACTGACCCAACCAAGGTTCGAACCAGCAACCTTCTTGCTGTAAGGCGATTGTGCTACCCACTGAACCACCGCGTCACCATTTTAATAAATTTGCAACAATTAAAAAAAAACTTTTTTCACATTGTCATTATGGGATATTGTGTGTAGAATTTTGAGAAAAATAAATAAATTTAATCCTTTTTTGAAAAAAGGCTGTAAAATAAAAAATGTGGAAAAAGTGAAGTGCTATGAATATTTTCCGAATGCACTTTACATATATGTATATTCAGTGCTCAGAATAATTGAGAACACCCCATTTTAAAAATGAATATTTTTATCCATTTCTCAGTGCATTTAAACAAAACAGATTTATTAAACAGATATACTTATTAAAATAATATTTCAGCCACCAAACATACTTAGAAATTGAAAGACAATACAATTAAATTCAAGCAAAATATTGTAAAATAAAATTACAACCTACAAAATTTCAACTAAATTCTTCAATTGGTTATTTTGATTTTTCCTTTTTTTAAATTTGTATTTTTTATATATATAAATTAACATATTAATGTGGGTGTACTAGTTTTTGGACAGTTATCGTAAGTTATTTTGGTAGGTAAGCTCCAGATGTGGCTTCAGTACTGACTAATCTAATGTAGATACAAAAATATAATATTTTAAAGCTTCCTATTAAAAATATGAATTTAAAGGATAGATTTGTGAGGGGTCTACTTTTATATGCTGAGCACTGTTCATGCATACTAATATTTGGTACTTTCATTCTAGACAGATTTCAAAGGGTCTTTACTAGAGTGATGTCAGTATACAGGATTGATGTACATCGACTACCACTGTATCAGCCTTTATTAAAGCGTCTCCCAGTCCTACTCATCTTTGTATCCCCTTTTCACTCACAAACATTGCACCATCTGCAGTTGCATCAATAAAAACCTTGATACAAAGCTTCTTTTCCCCCCCTTTGATCTCGAGCTCTTCTGGCATATAGACCATCTCTGAAAGCTTCCTTTTGCGATTTCTCGTGCTCACATGGAACCACTCTTAACATACTATCTCGTCACCCCACACTGTATGCCACACGTGAAGCACAACACTTGATTGTGTCTGAGCTTATGCGTCCTGTCCTCAGCAACATCAGGTTCGCTTGAGAGCTTCTGTTCATCCAAGCTTTAATAAAATAAATGGGGGTCGAGGCGGACTTGCATTTGCCTCTATTTCTCTCCACTCCTGTTTCAATCGCACACATCTGCCCTGCAGGTGTCTGTTCTCCTTCCTCTGCCTTACAAGAGCATGGTGGTTATGGGAAGCAGGAACGTGTTTTTACCTGTGAAAGGCCCCTCTGATGAATGGTTGCCTGAGTAAGGGGGAAATTACAGGACAGAGCATTTTTAGTTGCCAGGGATTGGAGTAAGACTTGTGCATTAAATCCTCCCCTGAGCGAGAGTGTGGCTGAGCTGGTATTTATCTGTTTATCTGTTGCCTCTGATTCCCTTCAGCCTAACACGAGAAATCAGTTTTTACAACCACTTAATTGAGCACACTGCCGCTTCAACATTTTTGAAAACTGTAATTTGCTCATATTTTTTTTCATTCAAACTTTATACTGTACAGAAGAATGTATTAATGATCAGTTGTGAAATACCTGGCTGCATTCAGAAATGTATTAACACTCATGGTTGTCGCTGTTCTTGTCTTGTGCATTTGCCTTTTAGCGTTTTATGTTATTATTTTCATTGGTGTTGGAATGTGGTAGATGTGCATCATTTGGTGCAGTGTAAATCCAGAGGTGGTTGAGGTGAAATCAAACAGTGGTTCACATACAGAAGCTCTGTAAGAACAGATGTGCTGCTATAATTCATATGTGCAGCACATTTAATAGTCCATTCAGGACCATTCAGCCTGGCCATTGCTGCAGAGGGAATGCTTTCTTTTTTAGTGTCGCTTGGATTTGGTCCAACTGCAGTTGGTGTCACCTAATTTGTTTTAAAACACATTATAATTCTTAAAAGATTTTTCAAAAAGGGAAGAATACGTACTTCAATACATCAGTGATGCATTACATTGCTCAAATGGATAGTGGATAGTGTGATATTTATGATGAAGTGTGGCTGCCTTATTGAATGCTGTACATTACTATTTTAAAAAATACTCTTTTGAACATCATATTAATCAGAAAAATTCTGAACATAACATTCTTTTAAAATATTTTTAAAAATTCCACAAAAATATTAATACAGAAAATCAGCATATTAGAATAATTTCTATATATAATAATTTGACTGAATAATATGACTGTAGACTGCATGGCATAAGACTGCATGGTGATTCAAGTTTTGATTAGACAAAATAAATTACAATGTGTAAATGTACATGACTACATATATATATATATATATATATATATATATATATATATATATATATATATATATATATATATATATATATATGTGTGTGTGTGTGTGTGTGTGTGTGTGTGTGTGTGTGTGTGTGTGTGCATACATACATACAGTTGAAGTCAGAATCATTAGCCCCCCTTTGATTTTTTTCTTTCCTTTTTTTAAATATTTCCCAAATTATGTTAACAGAGCAAGGAAATTTTCACAGTATGTCTGATAATATTTATTCTTCTGGGGAATTTTTTTATTATTATTTGTGTTATTTCGGCTAGAATGAAAGCAGTTTTTCATTTTTTTAAACACCCTTTTAAGGTCAAAATTATTAACCCCTTTAAGCAATTTTTTTCAGATAATCTACAGAACAAACCATCGTTGTACAATAACTTGCCTAATTACCCTAACCTGCCTAGATAACCTAATTAAGTTAAGCCTTTAAATGTCACTTTAAGCTGTATAGAAGTGTCTTGAAAAATATCTAGTAAAATATTATTTACTGTCATCATGGCAAAGATGAAATAAATCAGTCATTAGAGATGAGTTATTAAAGGTATTATGTTTAGAAAAGTGTTAAAAAAAACTCTCCATTAAATGGGAGTTGGGGTTGGCGTGGTTAGAGAGCCGACATATGGTGTAGTAGCACATCAGGGCGTCCCGAGTTCTTACCCCACTCCCCACTCTCTCCAACTTTGCTTCCTGTCTAAACACTGTCCTATCTAATAAAGGCAAAAAGACCCAAAATAAATCTTTAAAAAAATAAAATTTTGATTTTTTTGGAAATTTGGAATATGGAATTTTACTGCATACATGCAGTCTTGTTCATTCATAAGTTACTTAAATAAACAATGCCAAATTCTGTAATAGTAGTAAGGCCAAATAAAAGAGAAATTAGTATAATAAGATATCTGCCAATTTTGCAACCCGGGCTCATTGTGGAAACGTAGCCCCGCGGGTATACGTATTCGAGCGGTTTTTGTTTTCACGGATCCGCGAGAGGCCGCTGTGCGCGCTTTTTCGCGTCTCCAGCGCCTCTCGGTAGTGCGCGCCGTTCGCACCCGCGCTGTTCTGCGCTGTGGAGCGACCATCCGTCCGACTGGCTGGCCAAACGACCGAACGATCGACCGGGCGGCCGACCCCGCTGCCCTCCTCTTCCTCCTCCTCCTCCTCCTTCCCTAAGCCCAAGCAACGGTTTGCAAAAGCCATCCAGAAAAAAAAAGCGTCTTTGATTTCGACCGCGTTTTCGGATTCCGCCACGTTCTCGCCCTTATTTTTCGGATTCTGTTTTTCATCTTACCTGATTTCTGGAACTGCTCTTCCCCAGACCCGATCCGGGTCGTCCCCGCAGCCAGCTCCTCTTCCTCCGGGCCTCCGCTCCGCCAACGTAATGCTGAGAGCTAAGCGGACAAACTGGTAGCAGCGGGAAAGCCCTCCACTCCGAGCACGAAGAGGAGGAGCGGAGCGGCGCCACAATGCCCCGCAGCGTTTGCTCAAGAAAAACTAAACGCGGCTGTATGTACCTCTGGCCACGAAAACCGCGGTCTCCAGAAACGTCCGCGGGGCTACGTTTCCAGAATGAGCTTGGGTTGCAATTTTTAGATGTGTAATTATTTTAGAACATCCTTTACTTCACCTGTTTCCTTCTCTCTCCAGCTTTCACTTCTTGAGTCAGTATGAATGGTCCGTTCAGCCCCAGGCGGGAACCAGGGCCTGACCTGTCCTGTCTGCACCAGTACAACGAGTGGCTGGCATGTAGGCATGAGTCCAGTCTGCTGCCCATGAAAGATGACCTGGCCCTCTGGTTAAACAGAATCCTTGGTAAGAATATTAAAACGAGTCAATTCAAATTTGCATTAGAATTAGTGGTTACTGATTTATAACCTGAGAATCTTGAAGATCCTGAGGGGAAAATTCTGTCATCATTTACTTGCCTTCATGTCATTTCAAAACAACAAGATATTTTGAAGAGCAATGATTACCAAACCTTTATATCCCAAAACATTCACTAGCAACGAGGATGAGGTACTACTTTGATATGGACAAACCTTAATGTTGAAATGTAGTGAACCAGAAGTGGCTGATTGTGTCCGGATTGGGAACTGTATAACACAATCCTTAGGGCAACCTTCTGCATTTTACAGCAACCATCAATTGCCGTTGGCAGTTTTACATATGGAAAGTTCTAACTAGGGCTCAAGTATGTCAAGAAAAGTTGTGATTTTGAAATTATAGCCATCTCTGGTCACCAGTAGACCCACTTATCATTTTTTTCTTGGATTTTAGGATAAGACAGTGCCTTGTTCTTCCCTAATGCCATTTTTACTGCTTTTGTGAACTGTTGCCCTGTTAGTGTAGATGAGTTTCGGTCCATTTTCAAATGATCTTACTCTTCTTGATTGCATATACTGTATGTGGGTCAATGTTTATGAAAGTTTTTATTTGTTGTATTGTCTTGTGTTGATAATTGGTTGTAAAAGGATTACTTAACGTGTTCTGGACCAAAAGTACACGTGTCTGTACAGAATAACTATTTTTTTCCCATCCCTATTACTTGGCATAAATACGGGTTAAGGATAAAATCTTATAATCCTGATTAAATCCTGCATAAAGGCAAAAGATATGAAATATTCTGTGTCTGCCCATATGCTTACAGAATATCGTTTTAAATAAAATTCCTAAAATTCCTCTGCATCTTGGATCAATGAAACATGCCCTGATGGGACCCAAGGAAGGACCTGCTTTTCTCAGACAGGCTGACTGTTTTATACGTGTCCCTACGTGTCCTGACCTTTGTTGTCAGAAATACTTAAATCTAAGGGCTGAAGAGATTTGATGAAAACAACATCTAAAGAGGTCTAAAAAAAAAAAGAAGAAGAATGAAACCTTTAAGCCATAAGGCTGATGTTACCTAAATACGAAACAGAGACACAACAACCTCAGAAACGAGATTAGAAAAGAGACACCAGAGTTGTTGTTGTTTCCACAGAAGAGGCTGATGAGGGATTTCTCTGCTCAACACACGCTTCTCTTCCTGTTCCTGTTAATCTCAGAGCGTTATGGCTCTCTGTGGTTGGCAGACAGCAGGAGACCTCTTTGTTTCTCCCGATCTGAGCTAATGACCTTGCCCAGTCATTCTGCACATCAAGATTTCTGTTTTTGTTGTGGTTTCCCTCCTGTGTTCCCCTTTTCCAGGCCCCCCGATTCCCCTTCACCTCGATGGTTAAGCTCCGGTGCCACTGCTGTGCCTGAATCTGTATGTACTTAACACCCAGGCCTGAGGAATGTGTCTGCACTGCCGTGAGAATCTCAGAGCGAGTGTACTTAGAGGATTTTTTTGGGCATCTTCAAGTTGCCCAAGGTACTGAAAGAGTAATAAATTAAAGACTGAGGGGAGGATTGTGAGGAAGGTAAAACAACAACACACAAAAATTGTGTTTATTTTAACCCAGCTGGGTAACATTTTGGAATAAAATGCATAATCCAGCTGTTGGGTTTCTTCCTATTTTTATTATTTATCCATATTTATGATTTATTAAATTTGAGATTAAGTAATTCTCATATATATATATATATATATGTATATATATATATACAGTTGAAGTCAGAATTATTAGCCCCCCTGAATTATTAGCCCCCCTGTTTATTTTTTCCCCAATTTCTGTTTAACAGATTTTTTCAACACATTTCTACATATAATAGTTTTAATAACTCATTTTTAATAACTGAATTATTTTATCTTTGCCGTGATAACAGTAAATAATATTTGACTAGATATTTTTCAAGACACTATATAGTTTAAGTGACATTTAAAGGCTTAAGTAGGTTAACTAGGCAGGTTGGGTAATTAGGCAAGTTATTGTATAACGATGGTTTGTTCTGTAGACAATCTGGAAAAAAATTTGCCTTAAGGGGCTAATAATTTTGTCCTTAAAATTGTGTTTAAAAATTTTTAAACTGCTTTTATTCAGCTCAAAATAAAACAAAAAAGACTTTCTCCAGAAGAAAAAATATTATAAGACATTCTGTGAAAATTTCCTTGCTCTGTTAAACATCATTTGGGAAATATTTTAAAAAGAAAAAAATTCGAAGGGGGGGCTAAAAATTCTGACTTCAACTGTATATATATATATAATATAAAGATTCATTCTCATTAATTTTTGCATTTTCTTTCCAAAAGATATGAGCGGCAAAATTGTCTATGCACTATGTAAATATATAGAGTAGACATTTTTAGGCACCTTGTTAGAACGTTTGTCAGCATAGGTGTTATTTTTGCTGTCTCCAGTAGTTTGTGGTACTGTAATTTTCAGTTTTCTGACAGTGACACAATGGCCTGCTTTAGTGTTGACACGTTGTTGACAAACTAACAAATGCAAAAACAGTTCAATTTACTTACTTACTCGACACAGATATTTGCACCTCATCTGGTAAATTTTTGCAAGACTAAAGTCTTAATGGAATTAGGGGGATTCCAGAAATCTCGAAAACTGCTTGCTGAACTCTCAACTCCTAATTTTAATGACATATTTCAAACCAGCAACAAAATCTGAAGTGACCTGACTTATTATTGTTCTTGCTTATGTCCTAATTTAATTGAAAACATGGCAGGAACATGCACAAATATTGGAATGAGAGCAATTTTCTTTACAGCTGTTTCAGTGGTAAACAAAGAACAAAGACAGAACCTATAGCGGGTGCTCCCCCACAGTCCAAAGACATGCAGTACATGTGAATTAAATAAGTTCAATTGGCCGTAGTGCATATGAGTGTGTGCAAGAGTGTGTGGGTGTTTCCCAGTGTTGGGTTGCAGCTGGAAGGGCATCAGCTGTGTAAAACATGTGCTGGATAAGTTGGCGGTTCATTCCGCTGTGGTCACCCTAGTTTAATAAAGGGACTAAGCCGAAAAGAAATGATTAAATGAATAATTGAGGACGACACTTGTAGAATGGGATGTGATGTCCTTTCTCCTGTCAAAATTAATGCAGGTCACAGAGTAGACTATACCAAGTGAATCTGTGGTGATTTCCCAAGATATGAAGTCTGTTGATTGCCTATTTCAACTGGAAGGCAGGGATCTCATATTTTGTTGCATATTTATAGGACTGCAAGTGAATTCTGTTGATATATCTGTAATCTTCAGTAAATTGGAACCTTGTATGTATGTATGTATGTATCTATGTCTATGTGTAAGAAACTGAAGTATACTTTACGTTCCACTGCATGCACAATGTATGGTAGCTATTATTTTGCTATGTATTTTAAATGAATTCAAGGATATATTATTGCTCATAATGTTACCTTCATTTTAGCATACATGCAGAGTCAAACACAAACACAGGCTGACTCTTTCAAGTGTGCCTGTATCAAGCTCATGTGTCTGTGTTTGACTCTGCATGTATGCTAAAATAAAGGTAAAAAAGAAATCACATTTCTTTGGGCTTAAGCGTCAATATGTAATCTATAGCTACCAGATCATCTACAAATAATTCAGTGCCTCTATAACCTCATGTTCTTTCTCTTTCTTTCATTGCTCATTTGTCATTCTCTAAATGCTTTTTGTACAGGTCTGGATATAACAGTGGACACATTCATGGACAGACTAGACAACGGTGTCGTCCTCTGTCAGCTTGCAGAGGCTCTGCAGGAGAAGATGATTCTGGCCAGCAATGGCAAGGTGCCCAGAACTGTAAACAGTAATATTACAGATTTAATCCTTTTAAATCCTCTTAAAATAGTTCTTAACCCTTATAGATCACGTTTTGAAATATTCATAGGAAAAACTATTGAGTGTTACAGAGGATTATTACTAGACTTTTGGACTTTTATGACTTTAAAAAAGTAAATTATATGTAAATGAAGTTGCCATAAAGGATTCCTCACCCGAAAAGGGGTTAAGATATATTGTAAAATCAAAACGTTTTGCTACTGGGAAACTAGTGTTACAGCTTACTACTAAGACACAGTTTATGCTCTCAGTATTTAAGTAAAAGTTTAAGTAATAATAATGATGGAGTTTTGATAAATGAATGGTCGGCAAAAGAAACTTTCCAAAAACGTTAAACCTTTTTAATGGTATACTATATTACTTACAATTTATATAGCTTCAAACTGCACTTTCCTGTCATCAACTGCCAGTTTTTTAACTCTTTTGTAAAGTTATGATTAAAGAAAATATTGCTCTGTATCTCCACTTTCCTGGCAGACTTTTATCCTCTGACCGAGACCTGTGTGTCTGCATGCTGGTATAATGGGGGTGCATCGGTATATGTTCTTAAAAAAACAGTCAACAGATTGACAATCATTTATGAGTTGTCATGAGCTCACAAGCTAACCAGAGATTTCAGCTAGTTTATTTGCTGTCCCATAGCCTATTATTCGACGTGTGATTCGTTGGCGACCTGATGCAGCCTCTGGATCCTTCTTTGCTCGTGACAATACAGCTAACTTTCTGTACTGGTGCCGTAAAATTGGAGTGGAGCAGTCTCACCTGTTTGAGTCTGAAGATCTTGGTGAGTAGTCAAAGCACCACAGTTTTATTAAATGTTTGTTTATATTCACAATTTACTGTATTGCTTTATTTATACTTTTTCCTTCTTTGACTTATTGTGTAAGTCTCTGTGATCTTTATCTTAATGGTTATTAGTATTATTTGTTTTATAGATTTTTTTTTTTATATTCCCATTTGTGTTTTTTAAGGCATCTCCACTTTATTAGGTACACCTTACTAGTACCGCGTTGGACCCTCTTTTGCCGTCAAAACGGCCTTAATCCTTTGTGGCATAGATTCATCAAGGTACTGGAAATATTCCTCAGAGATTTTGGTTTATATTGACATAATAGCATCACACAGTTGCTGCAGATTTGTCGGCTGCACATCCATGATGTGAATCTCCAATTCCACCACATCCAAAAGGTGCTCTATTGGATTGAGATCTGGTGACTCATTGAACTCATTGTCATGGTCAAGAATCCAGTCACCTAAATCCCCTTTCTTCTCCATTTTGATGCTCGGTTTGAACTGCAGCAGATTGTCTTAACCATGTCTACATGCCTACATGTATTAAGGTGCTGCAATGTGATTGGCTGATTAGAAATTTGCGTTAACGAGCAGTTGGACAGGTGTACCTATTAGAGTGGCCGGTGATCATATATTCCTGAAAGTACAACGCTTCTGATTTTACATCAAAGTTGTAATATACAGTATCTTTGTTCTTACTTTGGACCTTGTTCCTTGAATTGTGTAGTTTAACAGAACTCACTAAATAAAAGAACACCACCATTTTGGTAACAGCATATTTTTGTCTGCTATTGTTTATTAAAGAGTTGATTGTTTTGTTTCTGTATGAATCATATCTTTTGAATGAATCATTTGAATGAATCACTCATCATAAACAGGACTTGCCATCTATTCAAGTTTAATATTAATATCCATCATATTATGATGACAAATGATTGTTGCTAGTAGTGCAATGTTGTAATAATGGTGTAAAATAAGGTAAAGATCTGCAGGTGCACAAATACCTTTTAAGCAAATCAGATCAGTATTTTTAATGTTCACTTTAATCAGATGAAGTGAATGTCCAGTTTGAATGAGCCTTGTCCAGTGTGTGCATTCAGTGTTTCTTTGGGGCAGTGCCCTGAAGAACTTCTGAATAGATAGGCAGTATCAAAATCTGTGTCACTCCACTGTTCCCTGCATCACACCCTTGGCCCCCGCTGTCCATCACTGCAGGATAAATAATGGAGAGAAAGAGAAGGAAATAGAATCGAAAGGACAGCAGGTCAGGGGAAAATGGGGAGTGGAAAAATAGGATCAACGATAGCGAATACAGTATAATAGAGAAAATGAAAAGAAGTGCACATAGAAAGGTTTCGAGAGGATTGATAAAATAATGTTGTGTTCAAGAGTAAACTAGTGTTCAGTAACTGCTATAAAAGCAGCAAAACCCTTTTTTCAGTCTTTTAGTTCTTTAGTTTTACAGGTTTATAATTCACATTACATAATAAGGGGGGTGAAATATCATAGTCTTAAAACCTGAGGGATGGTTCCAGTGACAGAAGCACAGTATTATCCTAATGATGTGTCTTTGCTTTTCAATGTTGTTAAGTTGTTTTGTTTTGTTTACATGGATTTCATGTTTGACATAAATGAAAGTGATTTATTTATTTATTTATTTTTAGAAATGAGAAAGATAATGGTTTCTGCGTTTATGTTAAACCTCAAACTAACTGAGGGCCCTTATTAAACTTAACAATAATCACAGCTTTTAAATTATGGATTAATCTTTTGTTGTTGTTGTTGTTGTTGTTGTTGTTGTTGTTTGTTTGTTTTCTTTGGGATTCACACATTCAAACCATGTCTAAATGTAACAGAAACAGACTTTTGTTTTTGTTCTTGATGGCTCAAGTTTCTGCTTGATTTTGCCACAAAATTAGCACTTTTCCATGGCACTAGGACAATCGTCATAGTAATTATTTTGTGTTAAAGTTTAACTTTGTGTCTGCATTGCAAAGTCTAAAAAATGATGATGAGCTTATGCAAACATCTGGCAGATGAAAGTGCTCTGTGATGTTTAGTATTGTCACAGTAAGATGTAATACTTTTTCAAAAACAAAAGTACACAACTTTAAAAAAATATATATTATAAGTAAAATAACACATTTACTGTAAATTGTAGTAAAAAAATAAATGGCAGACAATAAAATTTAAGGTTTATTATTTTGTTTGGAATTTACAGATATTTTATTAAAAACAAACCTTGCTTTTAATTGAATCTTAGTATTTGTTATTGTTGTTATTATTATTATTTTTGCTACTCATTACCACTAATAATAATAATAATAATTATTATTTATAATAATTAATAATAACAGTGTAATTATTTTTATTATTTTTATGTGGATTGGTGTCTAAATACAAAGAAATATTTAAAGAAAATTATTGTTTTCTAGAAGTAAACCGAGGCTTTAAGCAACCGTGTTCTTTATTTTCTTACAGGGTTATAATATTGTAAGTTGAGATATGTTATTATGTAATGTAATTTTGCTAAATATATATCAGACGTCTTTTCACATTAGAAATCTTTGCAAGTGTTTATCAAAGTTGCTTTTATTGGTCCCACTTTATATTAGTGTCCCTAACTACTATGTATTTACATCAAAAAATAAATACAATGTACTTACTGTGTTTATAATGTATCTGAGAACACTTGTGGTGCTTTTGAGTTGGGATAGAGGTTGGGTTATGGACAGGTTTGGTGGCATGAGTAGGTTTAAGGGTAGGTTAAGGTGTAAGGGGTGGTCAACAGTGTATTTACAAATGTAATTACAAAAGTTAATTACAGATGCAATTACATACATGTATTTAATCAAGCATAAGTACACAGTAAATACATGTATTTACACAATAAGTACATTGTAACAAACTTTTAATTCCTATGTAAGTACACATTAGTTAAGGCCACTTAATACAAAGTGAGACTCTTTATTAGTTTATTCAACAGAATCTCACGGCAATTCGTAACTTTTTCATTTAGTGGCTAATTCGTATGAATTTGTACGATCTAATTTGTACAATTTAGTACGATTTGCTTATCCCCCAATGCCGGTTGGGGTTAGGGGTGGGGTTAGGTGCCACGCCTCCTTTTAAAAATCGTACCATTTCGTACGACTGAACTCGTACGAATTCGTACGAATTAGCCACTAAACTGGCAAAACGTAAAATACGTTTTCTCGTGAGATCAGGCTGGTTTATTAGTTTACTGACATCATAGCTCTCTGAGGGATATTTTGTGTGTCTATGAATGTGAATGTGTGCATAAAAATGTACGTCTTTCTCCAGTTCTTCAGAAGCATCCAAGAGATGTGTGCTTGTGTCTCATGCAGCTTGGGAGAATCGCTTCAAGGTAAGCTGCTCTGATCCTCTTGAGTTTTTCCTATCATATATCATCTTTCGATCAGAGCTGAATGCATATTCTCCCCCAGGTATGGCATTGAGCCGCCTGCGCTGGTCAAGCTCGAGAGAGAGATTGAAAAAGAAGAAGATGAGTCTTCATCTCCATCCATGTTGTTTGCATCACCTCTGCCGTCTCCTTCCACACCACCTGTGTTTTTCCCTGCGGATCCTCTAGAGCCTCCTCCAGGCTTGAGGCCATCATCCATCTCTCCTCCAGCATCGTCTCCATCTCCTCCTTTGGTCCCGACTCCTCCGCCAGAGTCCGCGTCCATCATTTCTGACCCAAACACGCATCCAGAACCTCAGCCAACCATCCCAACTAACTCATCACCCATCAAGACACCAGTCAAATCAACGCTGCCCTCCCCAACAAATGGCTTTGCCAAGACTAATAAGAGAAAGAGCAGTGGTAACCTGCTGGATGATATCGTGAGTACTTTTAGGTCATATACTGAATGTGGTTTTCCAGTGCTTGGGAATTTTTTTACTGCAATCATTTATTTTCCATCAGTGTTGGGTTTAATTATTTACAAAGTAAATAATTTAACAAAATTACCTTTCAGCTAAAACATAAAGTGAGGAGTATTTTTCATTTTTATGTAATTTTAAGGCAGTTACATGTAATACTGTATGTAAATTCAATAGTTCTATAGAAAACAATTCAGAAAAGCAGAGTCATATACAGTCATTTAAGTAATGACATATAGCGTCATTTTATTTTTCAACTAAAGAATGTTTAGTATTAATCAAGAAAATCGCATAAATTAAGAAAACTGCAATTATTATAAAAATAGTTAATGACAGTATATGGTATAAATTCAGAGACGCAGAGTAATTGTAAATAAACATATTTTGTCATTAATACATTTTTGTTTTTTTTCAACTAAAGGTTTTAATTGTTTAAGAGCTTCACATGCTCAAGAAACAAGGCGATATATGATATGTATTACATATGGTGTCAAACATTTTGTGCTTTGTAATTTTAATACATACTGTATATAAGTTAAAAAAATTAAATTTTTAAAAAAAATCTAATACCAAACAGTACAGGAAAGGGACTCGTATATAAAAAGATTGATCCTTTAAATTCTGTTGTCTTGGCCTTAAGATTTTATGGGCATTTGTTGCTTTTATTCAAGTAATTAAAATAATTATTGAGTAACTAATTTACTTTTCAGCCAAAGTAATCACAAAAGTAATTTAAATACATTTGCAATGATGTAATTAGTAATTAAAAACTTCTTTGAAGAAACTTGCCCAACACTGCTCACCATCAAGTGGTTACAAACCCTTGATGAGTTTATTTTTTCTGTTTAACAAAAGTGTTCTAGTTTTTACAATTCATGAAGAGAAAGGCAATTGCACAGTACTCAGACCAAACTCATCCCCTCTATTTTTGCTTTGAGGCTCTTTCTTTAGGGCGTAGACTGTGTACACTATTGTACGCCAAAACGAACACGTATAAAAGATACATTTATTTTTATTGGCAGTGACTGTTGAAAATTAAATCTTTAATTGAGGTACAGTATGTTTTTGCAGGTCAGTGTCTGCCAATAGGCATACATATACCTACACTACCGGCCAAAAGTTTGGGGTCAGTTTTTTTTTTAAGAAAATTATTCTGTTCATCAAGGCAGCAATTATTAAATGTAAATAAAAAAAAAAGTTAAATTGTAAAATATTTATTAACATTTTAAATAACTGCTTTTTTATTATGAAATACTGCTTTCTTATTTGTATGAAGTTGTTTCAAATGAGATGATTACTCCAGTCATTATTGCTTTTATTACTGTTATCATTAGCACTACGGTTACTACTAATACTTCTACTACTAGTACTACTACTACTAATAATAATGTTAATAATAATAATAATAATAATGATAATAATTCATTTTAGAGTGATTTCTGAAGGATCATGTGACTGAAGACTGCAGTGATGGCAAGAAGAATTGGACTGTGAGTAAACTTCATTTTCAAAAGCATGTTTTCTTTGTTGTTTCAGGTGAGGCAGATATCAGAAGATCCACCATGCAAATGTCCAGTCAAATTCTGCATTGAGAAGCAGCCAAAAGGTCATTATCGTGTCGGAGACAAAGTCCTCTATGTCAGGGTATGTAGTGCATTTTCTGTTTTAGTAGAAAATCAGACAAAATGTTATGTGATATGTAATTTTACTAGCTTGCAAAGTGTCTGATTTCCATTGACTCCTGTACGGCGAATTTAAATGATATGTAAACCCATGTTTCATTGTTTGTTATAAGCGTCGACATGTCAACAAGCCCTGCTCTGCTTTTTCAGTTTCTTTAGAAGCACAAATATTAGTTTTGAACCTGAAAGAACACAGTACTCAGTCAAGGCAAAGCCTCATGGGAGCTAGGGTTGCCTGGCAACACGAAGAAAAGGTTCACACCTTTGAATAGGGAAAAAGGAGGTTCAGACTAACAAATATCTAGGATCAGACTGTGCACATAAATCAGAACAGATAATGCCCAAGAAACAACAGGATCATCAATTGCTCACTCATACTCAATATACAATTGAAGTCAGAATTATTAAACCCCCTAAATGATTAGCTCCCCTGTTTATTTTTTCCCCAATTTCTGTTTAATGGAGAGAAGAGTTTTTCAGCACATTTCTAAACATAATAGCTTTATTAACTCATCTCTAATAACTGATTTATTTTATCTTTGCCATGATGACAGTAAATAATATTTGACAAGATATTTTTCAAGACACTTCTATACAGCCTAAAGTGACATTTAAAGGCTTAATTAGGTTAACTAGGCAGGTTCGGGTAATTAGGCAAGTTATTGTAAAACAATGGTTTGTTCTGTAGAATATGGAAATAAAAAATAGCTTAAAGGGGCTAATAATTTTGACCTTAATATAGATTTTTTAAAATTTAAAACTGCTTAAATTTAAAGACTTTCTCCAAAAATTTTATCCGACATACTGTGAACATTTCCTTGCCCTGTTGAACATCATTTGGAAAATATTTTAAAAATTAAAAATAAATAAATAAAAAAATCAAAGGGGGGCTAATAATTTTGACTTCAACTGTATGCTTTGTAATTTAGATTTTAGAAAACTTAAAGTGCCTAAAAGCTCACACATGAGTCTTTAAAAAGGCAAATGCCTTAATCTCCTTTAGGGAATAGTTGAATATTTAACACAACTGTCACTTTATTTAATTTGGGAACTCAATACATGCTTAATTAAACATATTGGAATACACTTTTCTTACATTACACACACTATTCACTGTCAGATTAATAGCAATTAATGTTAATAAGAACTTCTCTTTTGTCAATTTGAGGTATATCTAGTATTTTCTGCTTGAAAACACAAACAGAACCTTCAAATCTACTCGATTAAGTAAAACCTTGTATATAAATCAATATAGGGGTCATGTGGAATGATTAGAGAAACTGTTTGTAATTACAATACACTTGTTTAGATTAGACTTCTGTGATTGCGAAAGTTCACATAAAAGCAGAATTTATGTACTTTACATTGGCCATTAGCAGCGTGATTGATATTCAGGGGCTTATATCCTTGCTTTTTGTTTTTTTCCGCCCTCCCTTTTATGATTTTTCATTCAGACATATCCTTCGGGCACCAGTATGTGAGGCTGAGAAAGAAAAGCAGCTGCTTTTTATGTCAGAGATCCAATTAGGAAGAGAGAGGCTTACTGTAGCACTCAAAGAGAAAGAGAGGGGAGCTTTTAATATCATTTCTCACCCTTCTTTTCAGTGGAAGAGAGTTGGATGTGTGTGTTTTTTTTTTACTTCTGTTGTGTCATCCTCAGCTAAAATGAAAGCAAAGGAAGATCCATTAGATCATCACAATAGCTGAGCTGTGTAGTGGAAAGAGTAAGGAATCGGTAAATCATTAAGAAATACGTTTCATGCCCCGTCTGTCAATAACAGGGATATTAATGGGGGCATGAATACTTCACTCTTTAGATCTGACTTGAAAGCGTAATGCCATTTTTAACACTGACTGTTGAAAACTACTTATCTTTATCTGACAAAACTTTCCTTTCACGGACCCCACATTGGCTAACACTAGCTTCTTAACACTTTTTACATGTGCTCTGGAGATTTGTGTATTTTGGCTATATACAGTATGCCCTATGCTTTAGGTTTATCTTGCACCTTGATCTGTTTGGTCATTAAGGATATATTCACCACTCTTTGTTGCTACACAAATGGTAGATCAGTGAAACGCTCCAGATATGAATCTCATCCAGGTGTATTGAAGTGGGAGGCACACAGGAAAACAAACCCACAAGGCACTTCTGGTCTTGTTTTTGCCTGTTTGATGTGCTTTAAATAGATTTTCCTGTGTGTAATATTATTTGCCGTCTCAATCAGACATATTGAATATCACTAAAATAATGAAGCACTCTCACTGATAAGACAAAATATGACCACATGCCTTATATGCTGATGGTCCTCCCATCTATGTGTAACCCGTCTGTCCTACAGCAACTACAGTACGTCTGTCACTAGAGCAAATTGAGATTAGGGGAGTGAGATTTTATCCGCAAAGCACTTTATTAGCTGGTCTCCATCACACTCACCCCCTAAAGCTCAGTCTCATCCGGGTCACGGCACCAATGTAAACTGCACCATCTACTTGCTCCGAGCTGTGATTGAACTGTGGATTGTTTGCATGGGAGGCTGTTACTCTAACAGGAAGGCTAAAGAATACAGTGTCTGTCGCAAGAGCACCTTCTTGAGTTCAGGGTTCACTCGCTGGCCTCATTACACCTGTGCTGCTAAAACAACACTAGTCTGCCAAAGCATGACCTTTGCAAGACCCTTGAAGTTGTCCTGTGATTTATTTGGCATCACGATTTTTTAACAGCAGATCCTTTAAGTCTAGCAAGGTGGATTGAACTTGTTGGTCAGGCACGTCCCACTGACTCTCAATTAGAATTTGAATTCTGGGGAATTTAGAAGCCAGAGCACTGCACAAACCTGAACAATGTGCTTAGAAAATCATTTTACTGCTGAAAGAGACCACTGTCATGAGGGAACTGCCATGAAGGGGTGTACCTGGTCTGCAACAGATTTATCATGATCCTGAATGGCTAGACCTTGAGTTTGCCCTGAACGCAATGGCCACCAGCAATTATAACTACTACATGTAGTACAGGCTTACTAGCATATCTGAAGGACTCTGTTCTACCTCTGTGCTCTATCAGTTCCTGTTGACATGAGGATTTAAAAGCTGCTAGAATCTGCCATCTAGTGGGCAGGGCTTGGACATAACAAGCGCTCTTTTTTCTTCATCAATTTTTTAGTAGAGGAAAAAGGCCGACTAATCAATTTCGCTGTCATCATCGTGTGCTGTGGGCTACAATAAGAAACGAGAAGAGGCGAGAGTCAGATTTAATTTGATAACACTGGCTTTACAGAACAGACAGAGCATGTAGATGATTTCTAATAGCTCACTTGGTTATTTTATCACAAGATTACTGCGTAACGCGTTCATTCTGCTCTGCCTTCGACTGTTTTTATTCACGCACAGCTCAAAAGCTTGACTGACGCGGGGTTTTCTTAAACAGCCCCCCTCCCTTCCTCGCGCCTCTTTCGTGTATTTATTCATTCCCCCTCGCCCTCAGTCCTCTGTCAGTCCTGACATTTTAATCTGCTTGGAAACAGCTGAGACTGATCAAGCCGCCTGGTAATTACAATTACACTGCTTGGCAAACGTGCCAAACGCGTATGTATGTATCCCTCTATTAGGATGCATCGAGCTGATCCGGTTTGGAGGGAGGCGCACAACATATAAATCCAGTTGTCTTACCAGCAGCTTAACAGCTTTGTAATGGGAGGGTCAAGACTGATAAGATGGAGGGAGGGGGAAATAGATGAGGGTCTGTGCCTCGAGAGACAGAGACCCATTTCTCAAGAGACCTGACCCGTCTTGTGCTCTCCTCAGTTCCAATGCATTTCTATTGCGCGCTCCTTGTTTTTGATCTGGTGCGCGCAAGAGTAGGTGAGTGTGTGTGTGTGTGTCCTTTGCTGGTGCTCAGCTGGTGCCGTGAGGTGGCGTTTCATTAGGCTTAATGAGATTTTAACAGAACAGTCTCTCTCACTCTGCCACCTTTCTGACTGGGTTAATTTCCCTTTCATCAGATCTGTTGCATATTAGATGTAGACGCTGAATATTTGATGAGAGGGGTTGTTATAGGGAGATCATTTTTAAAAATCTTACAAAGGATTAAAAATATTTGTACTATTAAAATATAGAGTTCTCATGCAGATGCATTAATACCCTCTATTTCTGAACTGAAACATGTATACAGGGGCGTAGCGGACTTTTTAAACGTGTGGGGACAGCTAAATGACATCAATTTTGCATTAATTTTATTATTAATCACAAGTTAATAATGGTACTAAATGGTTTCTAAATGGTACGTCTCTAAAAGTGAGGGGGATGTATCCCCTATCCCCCTTGGTTGCTACGTCCCTGCATGTATACATCTTCCCTGCTGAATAAACAGCATATGCTTGTAAGGTATGATTGATGCTGGTTTTGCTGGTCTCGATGCTGCTTTTACTGGTCTTGATGCTGGTCTTGCTGGTTACAATGCTGATGCTGGTCTTGCTGGTCTCAATGGTGGTTAGGACCAGCACTAAGACCAGCAAGATCAGCACTAAAACCAGCAAGACCAGCAAAACGAGCATTGAAACCAGCAAGACCAGCATACATACCTTCCCACTATGTCCTGTGGTATTTCAGCAGGGTTATCTGATCAGCATCTTTTTTATTATTGTAAATATTTAAACAATCAGTGTTGAATTGAAACATTGCTGTTTTATTCAATTGGAAACTACGACAAAAACGATAATAATTTAATAAGGTAACAATAATGATTGTACTATAGCTTAAACTTTTATCTTCAGATACACTCTCAGAAAAAAAGGTACAATGAGGGTACAATTTTGTTCCTAGAGGGAACAAAATATAAAATTGTACCTTTAAAGGTCCCATATTGGTCCTTAGGGTACAATTTTGTACCCAAATGGGCTATAAAGGTACAAATGTCCAGATTTAGGTTTGAAAGGTACATTTTTGTACCTTTTATAGCACATTTGGATACAAAATTGTACCGTAAAGGACCAATTTGGCACCTTTAAAGGTACAATTATATAGTTTGTTTCCCTATAGGAACAAAATTGTACCCTCAGCTCATGATAAGATCAAGACACTATATAACACTAATTTAAATGTATTAATACTAAACATTAATACTAAAATACATAATTTAAAAATATAATAAATAAATAAATTGATTAAATTAAATATTTTAATAATTAAATTTTTTTCATGTACTTAAATTACATTTTTTCTCAAAAATGTTAATAATTTAATTTATAATTGAATGTAATTTTAATCATTAAAAACGTAAATACTGGTTTTTGCTTACTGTTTAAGACCCTATAGTTTATGGTATGTAGAATAAGAACTATGCAGAGTGACAGCATCTTCATACAGGTGGTGATGTTGCTGTCTCTTTAAGAATTTGGCTTGTTGAGACGTTATAGTAGTGTTTGTTACTGAGGCGGTCTGTCGAGTATGCTGGCTGTTTACACAGAACTTCGCACGCTTTTCAAAGAAAAGTCTATTTTGGAGTCCACACTTTTCAGGTAAGAATGTATTAAAGATATATTTTCAGTCTCATTTTTACATGTGAAGCCGTGTTCTGTTGATTTTGTCTGACTCTCGGGTCTCGGCTTTTCCCCGCTTCAAGTGCTCCGGACTGCCTGGTGTACGTTGACCTGCAGGATGGAGTTTGCTAAGATGTCTGCAGCTTATTAAAGAAGTTAATACAATGTGATATCGAAGTCACCGAGGGACATAACGTTATAGACGGTGAGTACTATATGCTGTTAGTTTTCTCGGTGTAAAAGTTCCCTTTGTCGCCTACGTTACGCATTCGCGCCTTATATCTTACGTTACGTTACTGCTTTATTAATAAGTGTTGCCACGGCGGAATATAATCGCAACCCAATTAGCAAAATACACTCGGGCCAGCTGCGGCGGCAGAAGCGAGCCGACGCTGCCGTATCCGTGCACCGGAATCGGGCCGTGACCCGTGAGTAATGTGCGGTGTGGCCCGGAGCTCGCGCGACTAAAGTCTTCATATACCTTGATATAAAACTTTTTGTTATTAATACTGGAAATTTGTAATTATCGATAATGTTTTATATTTTGAGGCCATTTTTCTAGCCACGGATGACCGCGGAAATGTAATTTTAGACGGTTATATTAGTTACACCGCCATTTTGTGAAGAAAAATCACAATTTTGTCACCAACAAAGTGATTGATTATGTAAACGTGGCTAGTTACAAACGTGGCGTGTGTATGCTTGTACATATCTTCGTTTCAGTGTCTAAGTTACATTAATGTTGAGGAGTGTCCACAAACTCTCATGTCCAGAATTGTTGGTGCTTTACTATCGTTTAACGTTATACTTATGTTAATGTAGAATTATTAACATACCATGTTGTATAAATCGACGTTTTAAGTTATACTTTGTTCTTTAATGTAATAATTTGTCTCATCTGTTCTGAAACTGGTACCTTGAGCTATTTTACCTATTTTATTAATATCTTAAAATAAGTAAATAGTTATTGCTTTATCTTATTGCTTTCCAGAAGTTTTTGAAGTTTCCAATTGTCTTTCAGGACAAGATTGAACAACAGAATGCAGCCTAACAGCATCAGAGCAATGAAGGCATCTCATATGAAAGCATGGCTCAGTTACAAGATGTAAGTATCTCTCATTATCTATACCATGGTTTTAATGGCTTACATACTATTTTAAATTTGTAGGTTTTTACTTACAAACAACAATAAATGTACACCCACATGTTTAAAATTATTTTCTAGGTTTTCATCGAAAGATGAGAGATCAACTGAAGAATGCTATTGACCTGACTCTAAGGTACTCTTTCTAAACTTTCTCCACTTGATTAATATTATGAAATTCAAGCTTTGGATGGATTCATTCATATTTGTTTGTATGCCACATCTTATGTTCCAGGAATTGATTTTACAGCAGCACTTCTCATGTTGCCAGCCTTGTTAAGCGAGACACTTGAACATTTCGTTGTGCTCCGGTGCGTATGTTGTTTTCTGTTCAGTATATGCTGTGATAATTGCATTTTATAATTCTTGATATTCTTCATATTAGGATGACGCAGTGGGTAGTGCTGTCACCTTACAGCAACAAGGTTGCTGGTTCGAGCCTCGGCTGGGTCAGTTGGCATTTGTGTGAGGAGTTTGCATATTCTTCCAGTGTTCGTGAAGGTTTCCTCCAAGTGCTTCGGTTTCCCCACAAGTATAAAGACATGCGCTATAGCTGAATTTGGTAAGCTTATTTGTCTGTAGTGTATAAATGTGTGTGTGAATAAGCGTGTCTGGATGTTTCGTAATACTGGGTTGCAGCTAGAAGGGCATCTGCTGCATAAAACATGTGCTGGATAAGTTGGTGGTTCATTCCACTGTGGCAACCCCAGATTAATAAAGGGACTAAGCCGAAAAAAAACTGAATGAATGAATGAAATTTGTATTAGTCTTTTAATCTGTGATACTTTTTTTTTTAATCAGTGAATATTAATTATTTTACTTTCTATGCATGTGGATTTTCTCTTCATCAGTGATAGAGTGACTGATATTAATGTAATTATTGCTTTGTCATTTACAGTGAATCATCTTCACCACATCCAACAGTTCAAGTACAGGAGGAGGCCACCGACTGGACAACTGTGTTAACAAGACGAGTCACGGCAGTCTTCAGAGTTGATGGGATTGCGATTGGCCGGGCTAATGATGTGGACGAATATACATTTTTGACATATCCATCTTATTAGAAGAACACCTTGATGTTTCTGCAGTGGAATGTTTTGAATGAACGGTGGACAGTGACAAGCCTCGATCTGATCCAGTTACCAGAGTGATCAACCTTGTTTTTTGTTTCTCTACATGCTCTTGGGATAATCACAATCATCAAGTTAATCCAGCACACTGCTATCATTCATGCATAAAGCAAATTTTTAAATAACTTGTGGTCCTAATGACTATCAAAGAACATTTTCCAGTTATGAGTGCTTTACATGTCATGTTTATCAAAAGCATAAACACATATTGTGTTACAACAAATTACAACTCCACTTGAGGATGATGAGGAGTAATCTACTGATGTTGAGGAAGAGGCTACTGATGTATTTGATTTTCTGCACTGTTGAAGCAATTTATAGAGAAAGTTTGCCTTCATTCTGAAATTCAGAGAAAATGTTGATGACAAATTATTTATTATGACCGAGTATTGACCGAGTAAAGTGCAGTACTTGATGTAGCCTGTGTAATGCGTTTATAAATCTTAAACAGTATTCTTGTGGTCTTTGTATTAAGTGTAGATTATTTAGTTTTTATTCTTATCTAAATTGTTCTTTTTACTGTTTTACATGTCTGCTTTATACTTGCTGTGTAATTTTATTTCTTAACACATTCAGTAGTGAGTTGTAATGAAATATTTCTACATTAGTAAATAAAAATGGACATCTGTGAACCAAAATATTTTATTTATTTATTTGTGCATGCAGTCACCAAAGGATCAAAATGCCTGGGTCAGTACCCTGAAAATACTATAAAAGGTACTGAAATATAAAAAGGTACATTTTTGTACCTTCAGTGTCTAGGGTACAAAATTGTCCCTTAAAGGGTACAAATGTAGAAGGTACAATTTTGTACCTTTAAATAGAGGTACAAATTTGTACCCTTAAGGGTACCACCCCAGTGAAGGGCCATTTATACCCTAAAAGGTACAATTTTGTACCTTTTTTTCTGAGAGTATAAAATGGTTCATATTTTATTCTGCAATGGTTTGTATGTTTAATCAACAGTCCCAAAGTGTCCCAAAATAGTTCTTAAAACATATCCACATTCTTTTGCACACAAAATTTACAAAAAACATTTTTGACATCTACTGTAAATGTGCTCGTAGGTGAATTATTACTATATACATCTCTCACAAATCTCCTTTTTGAACTTATATCTTCTAATGGAAGATGTAATAAAAAGCTGTACAACATTATATTTGTGCATATACATTAAATCAATCAGTACTGAAGCCAAATCTGGAGCTTATCGATCAAAATAACTTACGATAACAGTCCAAAATTAGTACATCCAAATTTAAATGTTAGGGAAAAATATTAAAGACAAATGTAAAAAAAAAAAGAGCAAAATTCAAGACTAACAATGAAATTTTTTACATTTTGTTGCAGTTTTGTAGTTTGTAATTTTTTCCCCAACATTTTGCAAGAATTTAAATGTATTATCTTTTTATTTTTTTTTAGGATTTTCAGTGACTAGAATATTACTTAGAAAAATATATATCTGTTTTATAAATCTGTCTTGTTCTAATTGTGTTGAGAGCAGTGTGTGTCTGTCTGTCTCTGTGTGTGTGTCTGTCTGTCTGTCTGTGTGTGTCTGTCTGTCTGTCTGTCTGTCTGTCTGTCTGTCTGTCTGTCTGTCTGTGTGTGTGTGTGTGTGTGTGTGTGTGTGTGTGTGTGTGTGTGTGTGTGTGTGTGTGTGTGTGTGTGTGTGTGTGTGTGTGTGTGTGTGTGTGTGTGTGTGTGTGTGTGTGTAAGAAGATTAGAAACTATTTCAGTGTTTGTTCAGTAAAATGTATGAGTTGGCATGTATTGTACAAGGGGAAACCAGTTTGGAGCTTTGGTATATATGTAGTTTGGTAAGCGGTTTTGCATGAAAAAAAAAGGTCAAAAGTTAAATATCACATGTATGCACCTGTATATGATATCAAAATAAAAATGCTAACAATAAACAAAGTGCTAATTGATGTTTTCATCATTATAATTTTCACTGTAGAAATGCTATTAAGCAATGCATATGTGGAAAAAACAGTGTGGGGGGAATTATTACTTAAACTACAGAGATGTTGTGTATAGGTTATTATTACTATATTAGTATACAACTGTAGACAGAAAAGTACTTGCAGCTGAAGAAACTCTCTCATTTAAGAGTGATGTTGACTTTTGTTTTGTCTCTCTCACACAGATGCTGAATGATAAACATGCTATGGTGCGTGTTGGTGGCGGATGGGAGCCCTTTGGCACTTACCTGTTAAAGCATGACCCATGCAGGATGACTATGATCGCCCGACCTGGTCCCAAATCCTCCAAGCCTAACGGCAGGTCCCCAGTCAAGAGAGAGCTGTCCCGGGACAGCTATCTGGTCGTAGGTAGTACACAATGTCGCTCTAAGAAGTGATGGGACTCAGCAACCTCTGCCTCAATCTACAGCAGGCTGATTTTGATATTTTTTAGGGGGAAGCAGCCCAGGTGGCTTGATCTTGTTTTAATGTTGACAATATTTTTTCATTTTGGCAGCAGTTCCTTAATATTTTTACCCCAAAGTAGCATTTACTAAGTCACAGTATGCTTATCAACAGTCTCAGAAATAAAGGTACACTACGAAACATAAACCTTTAGCAGTTTTTAGCTAATTTGTACACGTTAGGAAATCATTTGCACCTTAAGGTGTCAATATGGTGTCCTTTAAAAAAAAAAAAAAAAAGGTACTGTCCCGGTGACAGCTTTCAAAAGACAAGACAAAGACATTAAAAAGAAAAATGAAAACTATGCAAGCTGAGAGAAATTCTGATTAAGACTAATATAATTCACAGAGATTCATTTTCAATGAGTGTAAAAATAAAAGCATTCCAGTTCATATTAATAATAAATTAGCATTTAGAAAACAAATTAGCCAAGTCAGTTAGTAATATAGCTTTCATATTCAGCCCTAGGCATGCCAAAGTTCCATATTAAGGAATTTATTGCAGTTTAAGATTCTTTTAATATATTTCAATGTTTATGTTTTCCTTCAGAACATGCTTTATTTTTGTATGATGCATCAATTTGGTGCTTTGTTGGGTCACTTTTTTTAGATCTGGCCTGACACAAAAGAATATTAATCTGTATTTTTTATATAGGACATATATATCTTATTTCTTTTTTTCTTTTTAATAAACATCCTCCTGTTCTTATTGTTCTTATGTTACATTTTAAAAAGGGTAAGATCTGTAATGTTTTATCATTCATAGAGGAGCCAATGTCTTATATATTTTTGTTCTATTGTAACTTTTAATTCTGATTATGGCTCTGTTATTATATTATTATTATTATTATCACTACAATTTAGCTGGTGTTTAAAATTGAAATGTGCCTAAAGATCCTCTAGATGGCGCCATATATCAAGTCAAGAGCTTATTTCAGTACTAAAGCTGACAACTTTTTCATTTAGAAATGTCATGGCTACAGGACTGTGAACATACAAATATGTAAGACAGAATGCATTTCATACATGAGCCACCTGTTCCATATGCTTCCCTTCGTGTATTCAGAAATATGATTATTTTTCATCTGAGTACACACTGAGCATGCACTCAGATGAAGCCCGAAGGGATTATCAATTTAAAATCATATTAATAAAGAAGTACATCATGATTAAATGCTACTAACATTTTATTTCATAAAATAAAAGTCATTTAAAAAATGGACACAATCTAAATACACTGAAATTAATAAATATGATGGCATGCGAGACACTGACACCTGTATTGTCCAGCTGTAATTATGAAATGAACCAGTAAAAACAGTTCATACCCCAAAATAAATGTAAAAAGTGGTGCTACATCGGCTGCCAAAGAAAATGGCAACTTTTGTACAAATGTCTCTCTCCAAACGTGACAAAACACTTGATGCTTTTATGTACTTGTGCTCTTTTTTCCACCTTAATCCTCTCTAAAACATTTTCAGATCTGAACATGAATCTCGGTGTGGTGTTTAAAACGTCTTCGCCACTGTTTTCAATCAAAACCCGATCCACAGTTCATCAGAAATGTCACAACCAATACAACACTTTCCCACCTACCTAAAGGGATTAATTCTTTTGGCTTTGTTCAAATGCTTTTATACCATTAAAACACTAAGATTCACCATAAAAAATGACTGGACTTGCCAGTTTCCCTCAATACGTAATTTACAAACACAACCCTATTTTTTCCAAAATATACACTCAGAATACTTACACAGTATTTGTTGTCCTTTAGGCAAGACACTGCAGGCAAAAACTGTTTACTTGTTTTTTTTTTTTTCCATAAGCCTGTCAAAAGATTTTGAGCTTTGTTTTTTTAATGGTATATGGATGCAGCCTTGATGCAAGTTGAGACTGCATATCTCAGTGATGCAATGTCAGACACAATGCACTCAATGGAGCTAGTGACGTCACTGTAAGGGGTGGGGTTAGGTCAGCGCATTAAATAGCATTGGATGCAACACAGATTGCACTGCACCAGGTCTGCATACAGACACCTCTCGTTTTTTTTTTTTTTTTTTTTGGCTTTTTTTGGTCGTGTTGTGCAGGACAAATGCACATAACTGATTCAGGTTTGTTAAATCTAAAATATATTTGTGTTTCTTTTATCAGTCTTTATCTTTCTATATTTATTTGTAGCTGTTAATATTTAATGCAATGCACATTTTTAAGTGCTGTTTTCTTTCAAATATTGTTTTTCTCCCACATACATACACTAAGCATTAGTTTTGTTCATATCTATATTCTGAAAGTTTTTCCTGGGACATATATTCATACGTAATCACCCGCTTCGAATGGTATTACTAGATTGAATGGGCATTATCAGTGTTTATCATCTGATAGACATGGGCCAGTAGGGGCCTTCTGCACCTACTGGTAGGCTCAGTAGGCGGTTATCCTCCATCCACATGGTTAATCAGCTATACTAATAGAGAAGACTCCAGATCCAGATCTGTTTTTACATTACTGTGACTGTTAGGTTTAGGGTTGGGGTAGACCAGGGGTCACCAATCTCGTTCCTGGAGGTCCGGTGTCCTCCTGGGTTTAGCTCCAACTTGCCTCAACACACCTACCTGGGTGTTTCAAGTGTACCTAGTAAGACCTTGATTAACTTGTTTGGGTATGTTTGTTGAGGGTTGGAGCTAAAATCTGCAGGACACTGGACCTCCAGGAAAGTTAATAAGACGTAAATAAAATACAATTAATGGGAAATTTAATACATAATATAAATAATAAATAACTTCCAGCCACAGCAGTGTGTTATCTATAGCTGATTTACCATGCCGATGGATGATAACAGCCTTCCACCCATTCAACTGAGTGATAGCACTGAAATCAGCTGCACATAATTGGCCTGAATTTTTTTACATATTATATATATTTTTATATATATATATATATATATATATATATATATATATATATATATATATATATATATATATATATATATATATATATATTCTACAAAAAAAAATGGAAAAAAAATCTGTTAAATACCTGCAAAGCTGCATTTTCTAAATTATGGATTAATTAAAAAAAAATCAAAACCTTTGTCAGAAAACAAACCAAGAAATTGAAACCTATATCTAGTTTTTTAAATATTTGTGCAAACAATGTATGCAAATTAGTGCTTATTTCATTAAACATGACCTGATTTGCATATTTAAAGAAAAAAAATTAGAGAACTCTAAATAGAATAAATGTAATCAGTCAACGGGGAAATTGTAAAACTCCTAGTTGGTTTGTTTTCATTTTCCTTTTCACCTGCAGTGTCTTGCATTAACTATTGCGTTTCCCACCTCCTCCATGTATATCAACATCAGTATATTGTGCTCAAGGATTGATCTGGATTTTGTGATTTCTCTGAGACTATGAATGTACATTTGGCAAAGACATGTGAGGCATTGTTAAATGATTTATGGTAACTGTGCTTTTCACAGCATCCTTAATAAATAATATCCATGGTGAGAGAAGGATCAGTATGAATTATTCAGATATCTTAGAGACACACTCACTTTCAAAAAAGGCATTACTAGATTATTACTAGATTAAAGCCTTCAGGCTTGTTGATTTTTTTTTTCTTCTTTTTTAAATATTGTTTGGTTGAAATTGAAATTCGTCATAGAAACATTACATGATGTAAACATTATAGCTTGTTGCGTGTCTTGTATTTGTTATATATTAAACGCCCTGCTGCTGAAATCCTTTGTCTTGATTTAAATTCTGTACATTATTCTTTTTCTGTATAATGGACAACATAGGCTCATTCTGAAATTGTAGCTCTATGTACATTTCTGGAGATCGCGATTTTTGTAGCCAGATGTATGTATGGCTGGATTTCATCTTTAAAATGAACGCTACGGCTATGATGCTGTTCCTTTTCGTGCTTACCAGCTGACCGCTTACCTACGTATGGACAGCTTTCCCACTGTTACCAATTTGTCCAGTAGCTCACCGTTCATCGACAGACTTGAAACACACAGAGTTGACCAGGACAACGGGGTTTGAATTCGGTGTTAGACTAAAACAGAAGCCAAAAAATAAAATAAACAAGTAAATAACAGGGTAAGAATGTGGTAAAATCTGAAAACGTGGTAAAAATCAGGCTGCTGCTAGGGCTTTTCTTTTTCTGGATTGCTGTTTAAAATTGTTAGTTTGGTTTAGGAAAGTTGGTGGGCGAGTCAATCTGTGCTTTTGAATACACTGTTGGTTGGGATTAGGGAAGGAGGAGGATGGGTCCGTCGATCAGTCAATTAGTCAGTCAGTCAGTCAGTCAGTCGACAGCGTCCCCTGGTGGATTTTTGCGAGAACAGCATGAGCGAATGACACTCACGAGAGAAATTTGAGATCTCCAAAAAAACGCACCTGCTGGGACGTATTTGGCACTCTCCAGAAATGTATATAGCGGTATGTTTTCAGAATGAGCCTGGGTTTATAAAGAAAGCCTAGTTTTACCATAGGTTAAAAAAAAAATAATCATGACTTTTTCTCTCCTAATTCTCAATTTTATTCATTCAATTTGGAGAACAAATTGTCTTTTTTTTCTTCATTTAAAGTGTAGAGTCAAGATATCCAACACAATCTCATAGCAATTCATAACTTTTTGATTTAGTGGCTAATACGTATTAATTCCTACAATCTCATTTGTACAGTTTAGTAGGATTTGCTCATCCCCCAATGGTGGTTGTATTTAGGGGCGATTTTTGCGAAATTTTCGCACGATTGAACTTGTACGAATTAGCCATTAAACTGACAAAACGTAAAAAAAGTTACATTTTTCTTGTAAGATCAGGCTAAGATATTGTACAAATCTGACCAGGAAATTTTAAGAGTTGTCTGATGTGGACTTAAAATTATGAAATGTGTCAATTATAAATGAATTTCTTACAACTTTAAGTTCAGGCCTATGTTTGGCACATTATTATTTCCACAACTACAATTTTATTTATTTTTGCCAATTCTGATGTTAAATCCTGTAATTCCCACACGTTTCTATTATAGAAACATTAAATTATAAGAACAAATCCTCATAATTGTAACTCTTTTACAATCTGTCTTCTATTCCTGGCTTCTGTGATGTTACTTGTAACTTGAAGTGACAAAAACACAATAGTGAGATAAAAAGTCACAATTATTTTTTTCTTTTTATCCCGAAACAGAAAAAAAGCTTCTGCATTGTGTAGACCTCATATAACTTTTGGTGACCACGTGTAACACTGAATTCTCTTAAAAGTCTTCAACCTCCAACTATATCTTGACTACTCAACATTCATTAGTGGCTGGAAGGTGCTGAGCTCTTGTGTAACTCTCGTTCATATCATGTTGTGCTCACAACAGCAATAAGGCTTCATGAGAAAATGACTTCCAACAAACATTTTCATAAACAAATTAGGTTGGTAATTCACATGCCATTTAGTTACAATAATTTCAATCAGATTCCCCCTAAAAAACAGCTACTGTACCACAGACAAGCCAACTGTTTACCTTCATAACAAAGAGTGAAAAGGCTCTCTTTGTATCCCCAGCCTAGTTTGCAGGACAGGCTCGTTGGAAATACAGGCTTCAGCCTACGTTTGAGTGTGATTTGTAGCTAAAATGAAAGCTACGGGGCAGTATCATCAGTTTCATTTCACACTAATCATATTTGCAGGGACAAACTATTGATAAAACTGATTCTTTCTGTGCAGTTCTTTGAACAGCACCAAATAAGCACACACAAAAAACTTGAAGGTGGTTTGTAATTAACTGACCTGTCTACCTCCAGATTGACAACTTTTCTGATGTAGTCAGGTTGCTTTGGTTTTGTACTTATTATGCAGAGCACACAGGTTCCAATACATTGGAAAAATAAGAACTGTTTGTAAAATTACGTGGTTGAATTTTTCTAATATGTTTGCTTTTAAAAGCACTATTGGTTGGGTTTAGGTCAGTGGTTCGCTTGGTGATCTGTACAACAAGTCCTGCCTTCTCATGGATATGTACAGGAAGGATGTTTACCTGAAACGTACAACAAAATGTCTCTGCAACTATCACATGGTCGCCCACCGAAGATAAGCAGGGCTGTCAGTACCTGAATGAGAGACCACATGGGAAAGCTAGGTTGCTGCCGGAAGTGGTGTTAGTAAGACTAGCAGGGGGTGCTTAACCTGCAGTCAGTGTGGGTCCTAACATCCCAGTATAGTGAAGTGGACTCTATACTGCTCAGTGAGCACTTTCTTACGGATGAGACGTTAAACTGGGGTCCTGACCCTCTGTGCTTGTTAAAAATCTCAGGATGTCATTTAAAACATCCAGAGTAGGGGTTTAACCCTGGCCAAATTTGTCACTGACCCTTGTCCATTATGGCCTCCTAACCATATAATAATTGGCTTTGTCACTCTGTCTCCTCTCCACCAAGTGTCCAGAAAAAGCAATACATGTAAGGAATTGTTATTATTGTTGTTATTATTATTCTAATGCTGGTTACACATGACAACATGATGAGATTTTGATGAGGTGTGAGGTTTGTTCAGAATGACCTATAAGTAATTTTTTTTCTCGAGCTGAGTGTTTTGGTTTCTGTTGTTGTCATCAATGATAACACTGCATTTTCTGAGCACCTGCAGTGCAGCGAGGAACTGTGAGCAGACATTTTACTGAGCGGTCTGTTTTTTATCTCGCAACACTTGAAAAAAACAGTGTCACTATTGAGCTAGCCAAGAAATCACAGTGGAGGGGCGAAACTATACCACAGCTCACACCACCACCACAACAATTTGTAATGGCAGCCGACTAAAAAAACCCCCGCCACAATTTAAAATAGAGATCACGTTTCTGTAACTAATCTACTAGGAAGAATGTCAGAGGTGCCCCAATCGCAAATGTAAAAAAATTCAACAGAGCGAAGATGCAAATAAGCTGGAGATTGTCAATAAATGAAACTATATGAACAATATATAAATGAAAAAATTAAATATCCAATCAGAAATCAAGCTGACAGAAGAATATCAAACTCTGTCATGGCACATCAAAGTAAAATATATTTGGACCGCACAGATAAAGGATCAGCTTGTCGATTTGTGGCAACAACACAAATGTTTATTTGTTTATTAGTCTCGAGAGATTTCGTGTTCACATTCGGGACTCTGGTTAAATATCTGTTGGTGTGTGTCGTGTGGTTTTTGTTACATCATGGCACAGCACACATTATTCAAGCAAAATGGTAAAGGATTTGGCTTGGTCTAGGACAGGGGTGGGCAATCTCGGTCCTAGAGGGCCAGTGTCCTGAACAGACCTCCCTATAGAGTTCAAGTGATCTTGAAGACACTGATTAGTTTGTTCAGGTGTGTTTGACTAGTGTTGGAACAAAACTCTGCAGGGACACCGGCCCTTGAGGATCAAGTTTGCCCATCCCTGTTCTAGGATGATCTAGGATATTTTTTGTCCCTGTGTTTGTGGTCTCTAACATCTTAACAATCTTATAAGATGTTTAAATATTTCAGTGTGTATCCAGCATAAGTAACGTATTTTAGATTTGCAAAAATGCTCTAGTGGATTTGTCATCTGAAATATACACTGACGGTACTCAGAGTAACGTATTCACAAAAATATAGGCTGAGGCGGGTATTTCCAATGAGTCTGTGCTGATAATTTCATACAAATGCAGACCAGAAATCTAGACAAAATCAAACTTTTTGTACGCATACAGACTCTTTGAGGCTTTCGCAAATGTGCTTCAGAAATACTCTCACCTCTCCTTTCTTGATTTCAGGCTTACAGTCCTCCAGCTTGAAGAAAAACCTGTGCATTTATTTGTCCTCTTGAAAAGATGTTTGTGCAGTTGTGAGATCTTTGAAAAGAGAGCACCATTTTATTACAAATCTTCTTGTAGACAGGAGAAGACCATCACCTCTGGTTTGCTTCTCATGTCATGAAGCGGAGAAGTGAAAATTGGGCTTTTTTTGTGCCACAAAGAACCAGAGTGAGACACGTGAGAGAGTGGAAGATGCTCGGTGGTCTGTGCGTGTGGATCCATTTGCTCCTCTGGACTCTGTTCAGAACACTTATAGACTTCTGAACAAATGGACAGCGTACACAAGTCATATGAAAACGGACAGAGGGACGATCCAGTCAATATACTGCATGATGAGGATGAACAGGACAAACATTTCGTCCTAATGCAGACTTTCAGAAAAGTTGCTCCAGGAAGTGTCTGGTCACACAGTCCCGTTTTCGTGCCTGGACTTGTGGACTGTGGTGCGGGCCAGCGGGCTGCTTAAAGAAGGAGCCAGTGTGCATAAGAAACCGGCCAGCAGGGTGAGGCCCAGCCCACCCCAGGCACAGAACATGGACCAGCCGTAGCCGTGACTGATGTCCTCTGGAAGGCCGTACAGGTAGCGCGGGTAACGCGACAGCTCGAAGTTGATGCCGGCCACACACGTGCAGAGGGAGATAATACAGCAGGTTCCTGTCAGAGGGCACATTTTAGGATTAGGGATGAGCAATATTTTCAAATATTTGATATGATAATGATATATATTTTTAATATAATTTAATTAAAGGGCACCTATTTTACCTCTTTTTCAAGATTTAAGAAAAGTCTTTTGTTTCTCCAGAATGTGTCTGTAAAGTTTCAGTTCAAAACATCAGATTATTGATTATACCTATATTAGAATGTTCTGCTTTGAACACAATGTAGCTGTTTTTGTTGGCTGTGCCTTTAATGCTACTTGTTCCCGCCCATCATTCCCATGTGCCTGTCAGAGTGTGTTTCAATCCCCGGCTGCGTTAGATAAACAGCACAGTGACAGACATGAAGGAAGCAGATCTCACACAGCGTTTGTAAGAAATACTACAGTAAGAACCTTCCCAAGGATTATTTAATGCATTTGTTGTGGAGTTAATTCAAGCCTTTCTGCAACAATGAGTCACAAACAATGTCTTTACAAAGTTCACTTACACACACACCGCCTGTGTTTACTTTGCACTGTTTTTGCATGACAAATGTGACGAGATACATGTTAATATCCACTGCTGTATGGATATCCGTTATGTTAATATACAAAATAAACCTGATTTAACGTCATCAAAGTGGGATTGAAGCATCTTCTTTTATAATTGTAGTGACATGCAGCTTTGGTGATAAAGACAGAAAAATCACTGTAATTCATTACAAACATGCGCTGTTTTAAAAACGTTTTAAACTTGTAAAGCTCATTCTTGATAAGTGAAGTTTCATAAACTAATTTCGAGAGGAGCATGTGATATGATTGTGCACCGCTGGCCACTCATCCGTAATCAGTAATAATCCAATCAGAATGATCCTAGCTTAGTATAAATGGATCACTTTCTCCCCATTGCACTATCTTCATTTTGGAAGAATCCCCCCTTCCACCCCATCTCCTCCTTTTTCTCCCCTTCTAAAGGGGGAGCGATCGAGACCTACCTGATCTCGGTTCTCCTGATATGCTTCTAGACCGGGCGGGAGCCCTGGGCTCAAATATCTCCGAGCTCAGGGTTCTCTCCCGGGACAGCATGCCAAACCTGCTATAAGTGCCAAGCATATCTAAGTGGGAACTCTTGAAATTCATTATATTGTTAAAATCACATTACCAACATAAAATGTGCACTTTTTTTGAGTTACAATCTAGTAAAGCAAGTTTAAAAGCATAGTTCACCGCAAAAGTTTCATTCTGTCATCATTTACTCTCCTTTGATTTGCGCCTAACCGGTTTAAGCTTTTTATTATTTATTTATTTATTTGTATACTGTTAAACACAAAATAAGACATTTAACTAGTAACCATTTACATCCATAGAAGGAAAAACAAATACTATGAAAGTAAGTGGTACCCATTTCCCAACATTTTTCAAAATATCTTCTTTAAATAATGTAAATGTTTTAAAAATATTTTTCATGAATTTTTATTATTGGATGAACTATGACAGACACTATCATACACTTTAAAAAAAATGCTGGCTTCCGCACAATTCCTTTCTGTTCTCCCAACACAAATTGATTAAACTAACTTAGTTGTTTGTACAAATTTGAGTGGATGGAACATAAAACAATTAATTTGTCCTCCCAAAAAACTCAAGAATTGTGTTGATTCAACTCATTTTAAATCAGTAGTTTGAACAAGCAGCAGAAAATCATTTTTTTAAGTGTTGCTTGCAAGATTATTTTACGACTATCGACTATTTTACGAACACTATAACAGTCTTATTTTAATAACACTTTAAAGTGGTGTTTAGGAAATGTATAATTGTAAATTTGTATCCTTTCCCCAACTAGCCTAACTCCTGCATTGAAAAAAGGCTGCATCTCTGTGACTGTGTAGGGCTACATGAGTGTCTTCCTCACAGTCATGTGACACAAAGCCACAGAACAACGTATGTCAAAAGCATTTTAGGACAATCATTAATCATAAACAGTGAAAACACTTGAAAACAATGCAGCCAAGCATTTGATCCTACTTTTAAGCCCTATTGTGTGTACAGTATAGTGTATATACACAATGATGTACTGCAATGGTCTCAAACTTAATTCCTGGAGGGCCGCAGCTCTGCAAAGTTTAGCTGCAGTCAGCTCTAACTCATACCTCCTTAATAGTCTCTAGTAGTCTTGAACACCTTGATTAGTTGTATCAGCTGTGTTTGATTAGGGTTGGAGCAACACTGTGCAGAGCTGCGGCCCTCCAAAAATCGAGTTTGAAAACCCATAATGGATTGTATGAGAAATCAGCCGCTAGATGGAGCCAAAGTTGAGTCATATTCAACACATTCTATCTTTCAAACAAACAAACAAACACACACACACACACACAGGGTGTCTCTTACCGCCCATGAGGAAGAGTAGTCCAGCTACATACTGCATGAGATCATGTTGCTGGCAGCATCCAAGAACGCCGATGATCCAGCCAAAGAGGATGATAGAGACAGCCATGCCCACAAAACCTGCTGTCATCCTGCGCAGATCTGCGTGCACAACACCAACATTAATGCCCTTTTACTGCCTCTCGGGTCTGATAAACATAAAGTGATTACTTTTATTACTGTTGTATGTTTACTTTTTTCATTTAGTTCATTCATCAAGAATAATTGATATAAGAATATTATAATCAATATAATAAAAAGTTAATAATGAAACATACTGCTAAATATTTGTCCCACTGTACATTTATATGCATCATTAATAAATCAATAATGATAAGTCTTATTGTTTTTATAAAAATATAAAATAAAAATATATATTATTTATTTATTTTTAATATATATTTTGTTTTCAAAGCACATACTTTAAGTCTCACCAGTCCCAGGTAATTATTGATTCTAAATAAGAAAATGGAAATAACACTCTATAATGTAGTATAAATATAGGAAAAATGAGAGCATAAATATAGTATTATTAAAGTTAATCTGCATATTATTCCTGATCATGAACAAAGTATTTAGACTTTTTTATGTAATACAATAATCAGTGGTAAAGTTACATTATATATATATATATATATATATATATATATATATATATATATATATATATATATATATATATATATATATATATATATATATATATATATATATAACAAAGTAAAAATAATACCAATAAAGCAATAGCAAAACCTTTCATTCAAGGTGCAAAACACCAGCCTAGATTTGCACAACTGTAAGCCCATTGTCAGCTTCACACTTTTTGCAAAACATTAATGACCCCGGAAAGCAAGTCACTTCATGTTCGATTTTTGTGTTTTTGGTAGAAAATTGTGAGTAGAGTTAGGGGAAAAAAAAGTCTTTTATGCAATTGAAAACTGAAATGAGTTCAAGGCTGAGAAATAGCTTCTGGTTTTGGAGATTTGCTGTGTAGTTTCACATTTGGAGTAAGAGGTTTCAGAAATTGTGACACGAAAAGATTTTGTGTGTAAGCAGTTGGAAAAAAACTGTAACACCCTTGTATACTTTTGACACTGATATTTATCACAATGTCATTTCCTTGCAATTTTAAAGCAAAGGCTTTTAAATGACCACACACACATATCAAACAACTGGTTAAACACAGCCACAGTGCGCACACACACACTGGTGCATAACTGTAGACACACAGATTGGATGTCAGCACTATATCATACACTATATTTGTCTCCTGTGCTGTATTTTTATTTATTTTTTATTCAAAGACTCATCATCTCAGATAAACAAAAGACAAATGCGCATGCACTATTCCTTACTGTAAATACAATCTCCTGTCCAACTATGTGGCTAATATATTTACAATACTTTCTTTCATACTCTGCACTGTAATAATTAGAAATCAAATAAATGAACAGTTTGAATAGCAGTCTTGCTATTATGTTCACCATAAATGTCCTCTCTGTCTATTACCTTGATGTGTACATGTAGGAACTAAAAGAAGTGCTTTAAGTTTTGAATATTTGTGTATGATGAATTTAAAATATAAAGGTTTTTGCAATTTAAGAAAAATGCTTTTAAGATGTTTTTTTTTTTCAATTTGAAAGCAACGCTTCATTTTTTTTTTTCAAAATGATTTGAGGCATTTTGCAGTTTGTGTGTGCTGTTCTTGGATTTTTGTGTACAGTTTTGGGGGAAAAGGGCAAAGTTTTGAAAATGTGTGCGAGCAGCTAAAAAAAACTGTATTAATTCCAACATTTACAAATGTATTATTAAAATCAAGTGTAAATATTGTTTAATAGACCTGAGGTAACACAAACTAATGAATAACATTTTTAAATCTGTTTTACATGTTAATGATGCTAACTTTAGCAAATTGTTAATGTCTGTTGACGTACTGTATGCACTAGCGTCAAGAAATCCCTGCTGTGAAGTGTACTAAATAATAAGCTGTCTTTAAATGTTCAAGTTGAAGTAGACTTTCTGTACTGATAATTTCAATGGAAACTATATTTAAATCACATCAAAAATTGTTGAAAAAATAAAGGTGCCATTGGTTACACTTTTTTTTACTATTATTCATATAGACATCATAATACATTTACCTTAGTATTCATTGATAAATTGCAAGTTTAATAAACAACATTTATTTGAACTATATACAGTGCTCAGCACATATAAGTAGACCCCTCACAAATCTCTTTTAAATTCATAATTTTAATAGGAAGCTATGCAATATTATATTTGTGCATATACAGTGCATTAGATTAGTCAGTACTAAAGCCAAATATGGAACTTATCTAACAAAATAACTGACGATAACTGTCCAAAAACTAGTACACCCACATTTGTTATAGAAAAATATTAAAGACAAATTTTAAAAAGAGGAAAATCAAGAGAAGCAAAACAATTGAACAATTTTGTTGAAATTTTGTAGGTTGTAATTTTGTTTTTGCTCAATTTTGCTTGAATTTACTTGTATTATCTTTTAATTTCTAAATATGTTTAATGGCTAAATGGATATGATTTAAATAAATATTAAATCACTAAATGGATAACTATATCACATCCATATCACTATAGAGTGTACTCAATTATGCTGAACACTGTATCAATAAATATCTATACCATCACTTATTTTCCCCTGCTCATATTTAGACTAGACATGTATGCTTTTATTCAGAAAGGATGCATAAGTGGCAGGCTACATAAAATGTTTGATTTTGGTAAAAAGATGAATCCTCTTTAAAGTAGCTAAAATCTCTGAAAGTGTGCATGTACTTCAACAATATAAGATATATCCAGCTATTCATTCTTCATCCCTTTTATCCAATACAAGCAAAAGTATCCTATTTGCCCAAAATATCATTACAACTGGGAATGACAAAGCATCTCCAAGGGAAAAATCTGCGTGTGCATATATCTTTACACAAACACCTCATGTTTACAAGCACATCACACACACAACCGCTTATGGCTCAAACCCCAAGGCACGATTTGAGTAAATGTGACACAAGTAAAGAAGCGTCTGTCAGACTCACGCAGCGCATGCCACTCATCCTGCCGGATGGTCTTGGTGATGTTGGCGGGGAGGTTTCGAGGCAGGATTGAAGAGGTGTAATGATACTTCACTGGGGTGCATCTCTGGATCAACCCTGTTTGAACAAAACAGTCAATCAAATATTGCACAAAAGCAGACTCATTAATGGCATTTCGACAGCGACTGTTTAGAGAAACAAAGTGCTTTAATCTCTTGATGAACAGCAGGTTTGTTGTGATCCTAAAATGCCCACAGAGACCCATGATGAGTGTATTCGCTATAATTAAATGATTTCCTGTTGAGCAATTACGCACATATGATGAAACGCATGGGGTCATAAATGTCACAGTTACCATTTTGATGTAACTGTCAAACTATCTAAGTGGGATTTATAGCATGGTCTGGCATACATGGCAACCTTTATAGGCATGTGTCATGGCATTTTTAAAGTGACATAAATTTGCATCCCAAATGACATACTGTACTATGTACTTGTTCACTCAACCATGTAGTGTATGAGTTTAGTGTAGTCCCAAATCACATACTTGAGTACTTTTCTGTGTGACTTTGTAGTATACATTTTGTAAGTAGAGCAATCAGGCAGGAAATTCTAAAAATAAGGAATGCATTTTAAATAATAAGATAATGTTTTAATTGATTAAAAGAAAAGTGTAATGGTGAACACATCATGCACTCTTTGCTTGCAGTTTTGTTCACGTAGCAGAAGTGAAGGAGCTGAGGTTGGATTACTTTATTTATGTCGGATTGTGCGAGCAAGTGATTATTCTGCCTCCCAACGGTGAATGAGGTTGTTCTCGGACTGTGGCGGTGCTTTATTACATCAGTTGACATGTTTTGCAGTAGTTCTGAAATCAAATGGAGAGAGATATATGATGCAAAAGTCTAAATTTATTAGTTTATAAATTATGCATCAGGGTAAAATATTTTTTGAAGTAATAACATGCTGTTGAGCAAGAAGGAACCATGTAAAGGCTTTAATAATCGATGATCTGCTCCATCATCATAATTTGTGCCACTGGAGTTCATTTTAGTTGCAAAAAACTGCAACAAATTGCATAGTTATGTAATGCTTTGTACAAATCAGGACTGGGCAAAAACTACTAAAATAAAACAACACAGACAAATAAATAGTGAATTCATTATTAATTCTCAAAAGCTGTTAAACATTCTGTTGCCTTATAGATGTTAAGACAAGTGTTGGATCAAAATGCCGTTTATTAAGAGAATGGTCAGACAGGCAAGGCATTTCACAGTAACAGACAGAATACAAAGCGTAATCTGTATAACACAGGTGAGTGGTTAAACAGGCAGCAGGAATCTAAAAACCATCAACAATGCAAATGGTCTAAAACATGGGAGGAAACAAACAAGGAAAACCACTTTGTAATGCAGCAACAGCTAAACAAGACTCAGCAACAGATGTGTGAGTGAAAGTTGTATTTATAGTCAAAGTAATTAATGATAATGTCTTTCAGCTGTGTGTGTAATAAGGGTGAACTTGAAACCAGTGTGTGAATGCAGGGTGTGATGGGATATGTAGTTCGGTTGAGTGTTACAGGGAATGCTCTCCAGCAACCAGCAAGGGCAACACCGCTGACAATCACAACATCATATTTTCTATCTTCTGATAATTAAAAAGTAAACAAAAAGTTTATTAAAAAGATTATATGTGGTTTTAATTTCTTTTTATTAATTCACCATGTATAAATCAATGGTCACTGTTGATTTTTTGAAATACTGTATTTGTAGTTTGAGTATTTAATCAATAGGGATTGAATCAAATCAAGAATTCAACTAAATTGATATTTCAATAAATAATCAGCTACCATTTCCCAATAAGCCTGGACAACGAGCCCTAAAAACAAAATGAATTAATTTAAACTTAACATGGCTTAATGAACTTCTTAGTACTTAAAAATAACAGACCTGATAAAATATCCATTATTGGAAGTGAACTAAAACCCGTTATGGTGCCATTAAAGCAATAGTTCACCCAAGAATAAATAAATGCTGTCATAATTTACTCTCCCTCCACTTGTTCTAAACCTGTTTAAGTTTTTTTTTTTTTCTATTGAACATAATAGAAGATATTTTGAAGAAAGTAGAAAATCTATAGCTATTGATTTCCATAGTATTTTTCCCCTACAATTAGACGTCGATAGCTACTGGTTTGAATCATTCTTATGTTTGAATATTTGTCTTGAGCATGAACGAATGCTGAGTACATTTTTGGGTCAACTACACCATTAAACTAGAGTTACACACATTATCCCTAAAAATAAACAAATAAGTGAATTACAACTTTAGACTTCACATTTTACAACAGTTAACATTTAGTATGACTCATTGTGTGAAGGCTGTTGGCAAGAAACAATAACAAAGTCGTGCCAAAAATAATGTGAATTTATTACAGAAAAGCAAGAAATGCAAATAGCAAGAATTATATAAAATGTAAAATATAATAACATATTTGGTAAAATGATGCAAAAAATCATTTACACCACAAACCAAACCAAACAAATGTATACATTCAAGGGAATTAGAAACTCTGCCAAAAAAAGAAAGTAATATACCAAAAACAAAACTTTGAACTGCCTAAAAAGAAAATTAAAGAACGAAAAGCATGCAACAAATGGTAATTCATAAACAGCAGTATGTCTATATTATTTTTTCATTTAAAAAACCTCAGATAGAGACAAGCATATTGTATGGTTTTAATACTTTTAGATAATAATTTTTCATATTTTTTTCAAAACTTTTTTATTTTAAAAATAAAAATAATCAGGATGAAATGACTATCTGCTGCATGTTTTTCTTGGTAATTGATCTATATATTTATTGGGTGAACGAGCATGACCCTTACATTACTGTGAATGGAATAAGTGAGAGTGTGCTGTGTGTCAGACGAGCCGTTGTGTGTTATTCTTGCTGATTGCCTTCCGCACCAATGAGACTTTAATGAATCCTTACAGGCGATTGTAAACCTGACAATAATTAACTTGCACTTTATAAAACCGTCTGCTGTCATTAATATTCATAAGGTTTCCTTCTTCTTGCCACATTCAAGTCTTTATCAGACAAACCTCAAATGTAAATCAATTAGCATGATATGTTAATAATTTTAGTTTGCTGCATTATTCATAAAGGATACATTTCAATTGTAACAGGCTACACTGGGTTTTTCAAGGTACAGTTTGTGTTCTTCTCACCCACATCAACATTATTTTTAGATTTCATCCAGCTGATGATTTGGTCTGGGATTGATTTGCATAAATCAGTGCAGGCATTCATGTTCTATTCATAAGTGCTGCAGCGCGCGTGGTTTGCTTTGACACACTTCCAGTTGTTAGACTAGGTGATGGTGATGCAAGACATGGAGTTGTTTTCTGTGCTGGGATTCATATATTTCTCTTTATGCTTTAGCTGTGTATGTGCATGTTTTTTTGTAGACAAGGAAACTTCAATAGTCTGCCTGAAACATTTATTTTACTCTACTATACTGTTTTGCCTTATTTTTGAATTTTCCATTTATTGTTATTTGCAATGTAAAAACTTATTTGATGACTTTTTTAAATCTCATATTCTGAAGTTAAATAGACTTCGGGGCACAGAAGAATGTGTAAGCCACACATGTTTCCAATAAAATTACAAAAATCATAGTTTTTTACATAACTTTATGACACAGTTTTTTGTGTGTGTGTGTGTGTGTGTGTGTGTGTGTGTGTGTGTGTGTGTGTGTGTGTGTGTGTGTGTGTGTGTGTGTGTGTGTGTGTGTGTGTGTGTGTGTGTGTGAAACAAAAGTTTTATGTTACTTTAACCTATTTTAATAAGTTAATCAGGCAATGTTCAGTTACACTGCATTTTTAAGCTATACAAGCTTTAACAATATGTTTTGTCAGTTTGACTGATTTAAGTTGAGATTACTAGAAAAGTTCACTTGATTCAACTAAAACATTTAAGGCAGCAACATTTTTTTACAGTGAACTTTAGAGTGCAATGTTGCTGTTTGAGCAAAGCACAACATAAAGGTTCTGTATTAGCATTGATGCATCCATGAAGAGTCTTTAACATCCATGATGGAACACTTTAGTTTAAGTACCAATTCCCACTATTAAGTACAGGCTTATGTCTTATTAAGATAGTGGCTGTTATTACTATTTTTACTAGACTACAATTATAAACTATTATAAATATTATTAAGCAGCTAATTAGTATGTCACTTAGCTAAAAGCCTTGTTGTTTACTTTAAAATAAGGCTGGCAATAATATAATAAGGCAAAAATGCAATCTCGATAATTATTTTCCACATTAAACGATACATTTCAATATAAGTTGTTAATGATTCCTGATTGAAAACATTACCTCTAACAATGACTGAAGCCACAAAAATTAGATGGGGCATTAAATGTCATAACATTTTTGGCCGATAAATTTTCAGTGGCCAAAAATTTGAAACATCTCATGTCAGCACACTTTTAGATTCCCATTGTTGCACATTTTTGCTGTGTTATTGGCACTTAGATAAATATAGAGTAAAAAAGTCCAGAGCTTATCATTGTTATTGACATAAATTTTATCACAATTCGATATAATATTGTTTATCGGCCCAGCCCTATTTTAAAATAAGGTGTGATCAAGTTTTTTTTTATCCCCAAAAAGATTAGATTATTAAAATGCCACATAACATTTAAAATAATAAATCATAATGTTAGATGATGTATTAACTAACTGCAACGAATGGTGTAAGGAAAGGCAGATCCAAATTGAGTATTTGAAAACAAAAACAGAGCCAAAGAAAACACTAAAACCCCAGAACACAAACAACAAACCACAAACCCAGAGGTGAAACACAAGCTTAAATACCTAAAAAACAATGGGAGCAGACAAATCAAACACTATGAAAACAAAGGATGAAGCGTGAACAGGTAATGAAAGGGAACAGAGCAAACTAAAACCCACACCACAAGACAAGGGACAAAATTCATAACACTAACCTAAACTTAGTATGAACAGTGTATTTATTAACTATAGTTAACCAACATTTATTAATGGTTCCTTTAAGAACACTGAAAGGTTATTTCTTTGTGGAACCTG